TCTTTTTTCTCTTCTTTCTCTTCTTCTTCTCTCTCCTCTCCTCTTTCTCTTTTCTCTTCACCTCCTCTTCTCTTCACCTCTTCAGCACTTCTCTTCTTTTCCATTTTCTTTCTGCCTTTTTCTTTCTTTCTTCTCTTCTTTCTTGTCTGTTTCTTTTCTTTCATTCTTCTCTTTTTTCTTGTTTTTTTCATTTCTTATGTTTCTTTTTCTTTCTTCTTCTCTCGTCTTCCTCTCTCTCCTGTCTCTCCTTTCTCTACTTTCTTTTTTCTTCTTTTTACTTTTCCTTCTCTTCCCTCACTTCCTCTCATTGTTTCTTTTTTGTCTTCTTTGACGTCTTTTTTCTTTTGTCATCTTTATCATTTTTTGTCGTTTTTGTCCTTTCTTCCTTTCTTCTTTTTCTCTTTTTTCTTCTCTTCCATCTCTTCCTCTTTTTTTCTCATCTTTGTCGTCTTTGTCATTTTTGTCAACTTGGCATTTTGTGTGGCCTTTTTCCTTTCTTCTTTCCTTTTTTTTTCCTTCTCTTCCCTCTCTTCCTCTCTAGTTTTTGTCTTCTTTGCATTTCTTCTTTTTTTCTTCCTTTCTTCCTTTCTTCTTTTTTCTTCTCTTCCCTCTCTCCCACTCTTGTTGTTTGTCATCTTTGACATCTTTTTTGTCTTCTTTGTCTTCATCTTTTTTCTCTTCTTCCTTTCTTCCTTTTTCCTTTTCCTTTTTCTTCTCTTCCCACGCTTCCTCTCTTGTTTTGTCTTCTTTGTCGTCTTTGACATCTTTTTTGTCGTCTCCTTTGTCTTTTTTGTCTTTTATTCTTCCTTTCTTCTTGCTTTTTTCTTTTTTCTTCTCTCTCTTCCTCTCATTTTGTTGTCTTTGTCTTCCTTATCCTTTTATGTCATTTTAGTCCTTTCTTCTTTCTTCCTTTCTTCTTTTTTCTTTTTTCTTTTCTTCCCTGTCTTCCTCTCTTATTTTTTTCTTTTTTGTCATCTTTGACATCTTTTTTCTTTGTCTTGATATTTTTTGTCATCTTTTGTCTCCTTTCCTTTAATTCCTTTCTTTCTTTCTTCCTTTTTTCCTTTATGCCTTTTTTCTTTTTCTTCTCTTCCCTCTCTTTTTTGTCGTCTTTGTCTTCTCTTTTTGTCTTCTTTTTCCTTTCTTCCTTTCTTTTTCTATTCTTCTCTCTCTTCATCTCATTTTTTGTCTTCTTTGTCATTTTTTCTTTGCCATTTTTTTCTTCTTTTTCCTTCCTTATTTCCTTCTTTTTTCTTTCTCTCTTCTCTTCCCTCTCTTCCTCTCTTGTTTTTTTCTCTTTTGTCTTCTTTGTCTTTGTTTTTTTTCTTTGTCGTTTTATCTTCCTTGTCTTTTTCCTTTATGACTTTCTTTTTTCTTTTCTTCTCTTCCCTCTCTTCCTCTCTTACTTTTTTCTCTTTTGTCTTCTTTAACATCTTTTTTCTTTTTTGTCCTTTTTGTCCTTTTTTAATTCTTTTCTTCCTTTTTTACTTTCTTCCTTTCTTCTTTTCTTTTTTCTCTTCTCTTCCCTCTCCTGTATTTTGTAGTCTTTGACATCTTGTCTTTTTCTTTGTCATTTTTGTCTTTTCTTCCTTTCTTCCTTTCTTTTTCCCCTTTTCTTCTCTTCCCTCTCTTCCTCTCTTGTTTTGTTCTCTTTTGTCTTCTTTGGCTTCTTTTTTTGTCCTTTTTCTTTTTTGTCTTTTCTTCCTTTTTTCCTTTCTTCCTTTCTTCTTTTCTTTTTTCTCCTCTTCCCTCTCTTCCTCTCTTGTTTTTATCTTGTCTTCTTGTTTCTTTTGTCCTTTTTGTCTTCTTTGTCTTTTCTTCCTTTCTTCCTTTTTTCTTTTTTTTCTTCCCCCTCTTTCTATCTTGTTTTTTCTTTTTTGTCTTCGACTTCTTTTGTCGTCTTTGGTCTTTTTCTTCGTTTCTTCCTTGCTTCTTTTTTCCTTTTTTCTTCTCTTCCCTCTCTTCCTCTCTTATTTTTTTTCTTTTTTGTCGTCTTGGTCATTTTTTTCTTTTTTGTGAACTTCGTCATTTTTTGTCTTTGTCTTTTTCATTTTTTGTTATTTTTATCTTCTTTTTTGTTGTTGTTGTCTTGTCTTTTCTGTCTTTTTTTCTCTTTGTCATTTTTTGTCATCTTTCTTCCTTTTTTCTTTTTTCTTTTTCTTCTCTTCCCTATCTTCCTTTTTTCTTTTTTGTCGTCTTTGACATTTTTCCTTTTTCTTTTTTATCCTTTTTGTCATTTTTTTGTCTTCTTTGTCTTCTTTTTTCTGTGTTCTTCTTTGTCGTCTCTGTCATTTTTTCTCATTTTTGTCTTTATCTTTTGTCTCCGTCTTTTTGTCTTCTGTGTCTTTTTTTCTTTGCCATTTTTTGTCTTCTTTTTTATTTTTATCCTTTCTTCCTTTCTCGTTTTTTCTTTTTTCTTCTCTTCCCTCTCTTCCTCGTTTTCTCTTGTTTGTCTTCCATCTTCTTTGTCATTTTTTGTCTTTTTTCCTTTTTCTTTCTCCATTTCTTCCTTTCTTTTCTTCTTTTTCATTCTCCTCTTCCCTTTCTTCCTCCTTTTTGTCATCTCTGTCATTGTTTATCTTCATCTTTTGTGTTTTGTCTTCTTTTGTCTTTTTTATCTTCATTTTTTCTTTTCTTCTTTTTTCCTATTTTCTTCTCTGTCTTCCTCTCTTGTGTTTTTCTTTTTTGTCTTCTTTGACATCTTCATTCTTTTTTTGTCTTTGATATTTTTTCTTTTTTACCTTCTTTTCATTTTTTATCTTGTCTTCTTTTTCTTTTCTTTGCCTTTGTCATTTTTTGTTCTTTGTCATTTTTTGTCTTGACTTTTCTTCCTTTCTTATTCTTTTTTCTTCTCTTCCTTCTCTTCATCTCTTTTTTCTTCTTCGTTCGTCTTTTTTTATTTTTTGTCCTCTTTGTCATTTTTTGTCTTCTTTTTTCTGTTTTGTCTTGTCTTCTTTTTTCGTTCTATTTGCCTCTCCCCCTCTCCCCCTCTTCCCCTCTCCCTCCCCCCCCTCTCCTCTGCCTCATTTTCACAAGATTGCCTGAGAGCTAATAGATAAAACAGTTGACCAGGAATGGATCAAAGTACCCAAAGTCATATGTACTCAGCCACCTTTTCTACTGTGCTATTCCTCCCCTGGGTTTCACTAAGATTGTAATTAGCAGATTTTGTAGTGTGTAATCCACTTGATCACATGCTAATATAAAAGATAATAATGTGAAGGCCCACCAGAAAATAATTCCTTTGACGAGTAGGAGGTGTCAGTATTTTTTTTCAAGCTCTAAAGACTCAAGTTTGAGTGAGTAATAGTAGCATACATACCTTTTTTTCTCCTGAGAAAAAGGTTTCTGCTTTGATACTGATACTAGGAGTAATATACAGCACGCATGCATACACATGCATGCAAATTTTGGTTGTTTTGCAACAGAAAATGGCACATGTCCTTAATTGTCTCACTAGTGTTAAAATACTCAAAAAAAAAAAAAACTTACATTAAAGTATGGGTTTTTTTTCACATTTTGATTTTAAAAGTTGCTCGGATGTTCTGTGCTTTTCTTCCAAAGTATGCGTTTGAATTTTGTGTGTGCGTGCGTGTGTCGGGTGCTCAGGATTTGTTAGGTCTGGTTTGTTTGTAGTTTTGTTTGCTAAGAGGTTAGAATCTTGTGAAGGGAAGGTTTACCAAGGAGAAGCGTGCGTTTCAGCACAGAGGCATGTGCAGAGCAGCGGTGCGCTTAAACGTGGTACTGAATTGATCAATCATGCACCAACGGATACTTTCAGCCAAAATTCAGGCACAGAAATACTTGCTGAACACTGGAAAAATGTATAAATCAGCACTGCAGAAGCACAGATTTAGAATGCTGCTGTTTCTTCCCCACCGCTAACGTTAATTACTCTGTAGTTTACTGAATAAGGGTCTGAGAATGCTTCGCTAACCAAAGAAGGAAATTTAAATCTAAACTCTTTTCTTCACTGTAGGCTGTAAGAAGAACAGGAGGAGAGCGCACAAAAAAGTTGAAATTGCATTTAGCTTATTTGCGTTATGTTTTAATCAGTTAACTTACAGTCAGTGCTGTTTAGGTTGAATCGCAAGTAATGCCTCGATTATGGAATGCAGTCTTTGCCTTCCTTGCTTCACAGCTGCTGATAAGTTCTGTAATTCTTTCCCTGCACAGCAAGGAGCATTGATTTTTGAGAGGATTTTTAAATTTTGTTTAAAAATAACAATAGTAATAAAGTAAATATAGAATTAAGTGAAGAGCACAAAACACTGGAAGATCCACTGCACCTTAGAGCTTTCTGATGACTTTATTTTCTCACAAAAGGGGAATCGTAAAGACTGGCAGTTTCTACAGAGTAGACTCTCCTTGGGTTGAGTGGCAATGAGATTCTTCCCTCACCAGAGCTTTAGCTTTCTCAGTGGCAGGTGGAGAACTTGTTGGATTTTTTGCTTCATGGGTAAATGTCCAGAGCCCTAGGCTCTAGACCATTTTATAAAGGTGAATACCCACACTGCCTCGTCATCATCCTCATTCGAGTATTAAAAAAGAAGGTTTCCTAACAGAGCTCATCCTTTTGATACATACAAGGTGTGCTTTAAGAGGACTGGATCTTTCAAAATATTTAGACAAAGGTTTCCGGCAATGGGTTGTGAATCTGGAACTGAGGCTGCAAACCAAACAATGTGGGCCTGAGTAGCAAAGCTTGGGAACTGCTGCCTTGAAGGCAACTCTGCGTTATTGTCTGGATTCTAATGCGTACCTAAAAATTCAGCTCACGTAGTAACTAAACTAATACTGCCTTTTGTAACAGGTGTAATTTATTTTTTGTAAGTATCTTAATTCTGGGGATAGTATTGCTCAGTATTTTTATCTGCTCTTGGGAATATGTTGTTTAGATTCAGTGGCATTTGTATTTTTCATCCTATTGTGAATTTATAAGCATTTTAGGAAGGTACTTCACTGATCTATGCTTCATTTTTTTCCTCTGTCAGGAAGAAGGAACTATCAAAGAAATTGCAATAACTCATCATGTAAAGGAAGGACATGAGAAAGCAGACCCTTCACAGTTTGAACTTCTGAAAGTACTAGGGCAAGGATCCTTTGGAAAGGTTGGTGACTGAACTCCTTCCAGAGAAAGCATTCAGAAATCTACTATTGAATCGTATGAAGAGTGAATTATTTAAAAGGACTACAGTCTTGCATTCAAGCAAAGCTGCCAGTCAAAACTCTCTTAAATTAGCACTAAGTAGCTAATTTTACTGGATCTCTAAAAAGTAATTGATATGAAGTAAAAGGTATTCACTATTAATAAAGGATGAGTGTTATTTTTTCTATACTTTGTTAATCTTCTGTGTTTGAAGGGGCAGAGGTTGAGACATATTAAAATGCAGTCAACATAGTAAATGTAACTGAGATTTATTGAAAACCATAATCCCAGTTGCTAACTTGCAAATGGTGGGTTATTGACTCTACAGAAACTGTAGGAAGAATTCATTTTTGTAGTGAATTGTAATTGTAAAGAACAGATTTTGGACAATTTAGTCATTGCATTAAACTCGATATACTCCAGTGTTGTTATGCTGGGCATTATCTGTCATAATTTGGATAAGACAAAGATTATCTTGATTTTAGTGGGTAATGACCACACTGAGTTCTCTCTAACTGTACATGTACCTTTAGCTGTCCAAATCCAACTTAAAGCATTAATTTCATGTGGCAGAAATCATTGAGAGTCGATGGAATATGGCATGTAAGCCAACAGAGACTTGAAGACTATTTTCAGCCTTACATTAAAGTCCTAATCTTTGATATGGGAAAGATTAGAATAATGTCCAATCCTGTCTTTGTGATAGGAAGTTACTTGTATTATTGGAATAGCAGTTCAAATTAAGATTGGAAATCTGGATATTTAAAAACTGTAAAATTTTGCTCTCAATTTAGTAAGCATTTACTGAGAAGCCTGATCTCAGAGGTTCTTCGGTTCCTATGTTGTTTGATTTCATCTAGAATCATAGAAAAGTTTTTATTTGAAATCCTGCAAATCAGGACAAGTAAATCATTCCGGGTAAGGAACTATAAGCTAATAAACTTGTGATCACTTCAGGGTTTCTTCTGATTTTTCTTGATATTACTAAATTCAATGCTGCAATACTCCTGTTTAGTCAAGTTTTGGAAAAGCAAAAATAACTATCCATCTGACTCATAATATCAAAAAATGTACTACTTTTCCTTTATGCAAAAACAGGAATCCATTTTTTGTAATAATTTGGGAAGATCTCACTACTTCTCTTTAAAGTTAAAGAGACTACCTTGCACACTTTTCAAGGCCTCTTGGCGCTGTTCTGGTAATGCAAAGGAATGTTAACATAAATGCAAATTGTTTTTTAAAAAAAAGCAGATAAGGTTCATATAATAGAACACTTTTTCAGCCTTCTCCTTTACCACAATATCGCTAATGTTTTTTCTAAATAACCAAAAAACCTATGGCAGATATATTTTACTTTCCTCATTACTAAATCTAAAATTTGGCTCTACTGGAATTCATTTTGGATTAAGGATATTAAAATCAATCCCATTCAAGAAAACCTATTATCCTAGAGAAGGAAATGAAACTCATTTTACTGGAATCTGGTTTTACTTTATTGGTATATATAAAATTCAACCATAGCATATCAAAAAAGGTGTATTTTTTTGGCGTTAGAGGTTGGTTCACATAATTTTATAGGTTTTTTTATCACAATTTTACTGTGATTTAGTTCTTGAATTGCTTGTTTGAACTGAATTGTTTGACTTATGTTGATGTATATAGTTTTCTGATTTAGCTCTTACACATGCACAATTTTATATCTGACAATTGTTTTTATTGGCACTTTTGCTATATTTTGCTGTATTAAAATTATTAATTTTTGTAAGATGAAACTATGTAGAGATTCATGTTTCTGAGATTTATACTAATATTCTATATATTAATATTTAAAGGTTTTTTTAACAGAAGAAGATTAGGAAGTTGAATTTCATGTGTCAAGTAAATTTGTCTTTACCTTTTGAGAGAATTCAGATTCATCCTTTTATTCGCTGAAATCAATTATGTTGAATCAGAAATTGACAGATTGGCCTTGAGTGAACCTTTTAGTTTAAGAAATGAAGGGATGGTATGTAAAAATGCAAGGAAACCTCGTATTTGGGTTTTGTATGATCTAAAAATGCTGGTGATGAAAAAAGTAAATAGCAAAGTATAGTAATCTGACTTACCTTTATTTCGTTTTGCAAATTCCTTTTCAATGCAGGTATTTCTTGTCAAAAAAATCTCAGGATCAGATGCTAGACAGCTTTATGCAATGAAGGTATTAAAAAAGGCCACCTTGAAAGGTAAGCACTGTTCAGAGCAAAGAAAGTGGGAAATCATAGATATTATACTAACACTTAATCTTTACACAGTCTTTCCAAAAGATTGTATCTTAGAGCTTACTATTACCAAACAGTAAGTAGCAGAACGTACTGCTTTGTTATTGTAAACCCAGAAGAATTTAGTACTCAGAAATATTCATTCATAGGGTTATAGGGGAAAATAAATTCCCTTCTGTTTTAAGTCCTTTAGGTCCCTTTCATTGTTAGTAGCAGAATGATTTTTACTAAGGTAGCTGTGTTACCTCTGCTAGCTGACTTGCTCATGAGCAGTTAGCTGAAACTTAATATCCCTCCTTTTTTCATTTGCTGTATATCACTAAGGATACAGTTCCAGCCTTTTGCTCCGGTTAAATTTAGGTCATGATATTTACAAGGGCATTATATCAGCTATTTTATATAAAAGCTCTTAACACAAGAGTTTAACCTCTGTTGCATCAGAAGTATATTGTACATTTTCCCAGTACTTTGGCACTTGCTTTGGGTGTAAAATGCGTCTCATGAAAGTTTAAGTCAATCTTCTTATTTGCTTAAGCAAAAATGAATATTAAAATGAGTCCTTAAAATGTTCAGTTTCTTGGGTGTTTCAGTGGTATCAGTAACAAAATAAAAAGTTCACATCTGAGCAGTGTCAGTTCTGTCCTGTAGTTTTATCATAAGAAAAATGAAAAAAATATAATTTCAATTACAGATTAAAATGAAAGGGATCTTTCACACAGCAATCCTGTAACTGCAGTGTGTGTGTGTGTGTGTATTTTTTTTTTTTATACCCTTATTCTATACTTCCGTGTTTGAGACTATTTGTAATTCTTTTAAAGTAACTCATGGCTGCAGCTGAAATTGCAATGATAGTTTTGGGACCATTTCAAGAGCTTGTGGGCCATGTTATTGCTCTATCATACCGATTTGCAATTTTAACATGAGTTTTCATCTGAAAACATTCATAGTGACTAGTGAATGAAAACTGCATACTTGCACTGGACTGCAAACTCTGTTAAAATGTTGAACCTGAAGTTTTCCTGATTAAGAACTAGTGTCAAATATCTATCTCACGGATCTCATTTTGCCTCACTTCTATTTAAAACTATTGGAGTTTCTTGTATCTTGGTGTTTTGTGGAAGGTGTTATTCTCATTATATACTTTCTATTTTTTTGAAATTGGTTTCCATTTATTTAAAGTGCCTTGATATCCTCAATAGACTTTCATTCCCAAGCCTGTTAATAGCTAAGGGTCAAAGATCATTCAGCAATTGCTTCATAAGATGTTTGAGGGCTCCTCTCCATCACCTCTTGATGGTCTCTTAACCTTATGCATAGAAATTCCAGTGCAAGCTGTGGATCGGTTTGTGGATGTGGAAACTGATAAATACTCCCTGAAACTGAAAGCATGACTTCTGGTTAGAAAAGTAGATGCTTCAATACATTAAGAATTCAAGGATACAAAAGGCATGAGCAGAAAGCTGTCACTAACAGGAGGATGCAACATTTCTCAGCGCTTTGTATCTGAATTTTCAGATGCATTTGAACATTGTTCCGTTTCAGTTCATGGTTTAAGAAAAGCAATTACACACAAATGAAGGTTACTACTGAAGTCTTAATATAAAATTATTATTTTTTCCCAAAAGGAAGAACTGGGTAGATAAATTTTTAAAGATCTAATACTGTGATTTTAAATAATACACTGCATTACCTGATTTGTCTAAGGATCTTTAGCTCTTTTAAATCTACTTCAGAAGATTATTTTTGTGATGTGACATTAGAGTTAAAAATACCCTTTAGGATTGCTTGTTAATTTAAGGCAATGCGCATGACTGTCAAAGCAGATTTAGGGAGAAAGTTTTCATAGGAATGCAGCTATATTAGCCAAAACACGTTAATGTAAGTAGTCCAGCCTTTTAATGTTTAGAGTACGTTCAAGAGTACACACACCAATTTTATTGAGTGCAGAGACCTATTTATTAATATACTATGACAGAAGGTATCATCTTTCAAAGCCCCTGCATGAGAGATGGAAAGAAACAGGGCTAAATTGCTGCTAGAGAGTCTGGTATCAAACATACTAAGAAAGAAATTTAAAATGAGCAGGCTCAGTTAATTTGACAAAGCAATAGGTTTTTTTTTTCCATTAATACATCGCTATGAAACTTACCAATCTCCTGGCGTACACTGCAGCCCAAGCAATCTGTAAATGGTCAAAATATATGAAAAATAGTTTTCACTGCCAAATCAATTTGTTACTTCCAGCAGTACACATATGGAAATAGTAGTCGACAAAAGTTAGGTTTTAGGTCACTAATGGTTAATACCAATGTCTGAAATGTGCTTCTTTCCTTATATTTCTTTGGTTAAGGTTCTGTAAATTTGGACTTATTCTGGCTCTTTGATAAGAAATCTTGTTATCCATGTGACTGTTTCATAGCTATATGCACTTTTAAAACTTTTTCTTTTTTTTCTGAAATGAATCTGCTCAAAGAAGAAATGTTCCAGATTTAAATACTGTAATTCAACCGAACTGAACCTGAATAGTGAGATCGCATGAGCGCCTTGTGACATTTTCATGACTTCAGATGTTAATGTCAAAATTCAAATGTGATATTTGCTCTGTATTTGAGTCACTGTATTTTACGTGCCTTCGTTTTTAAGGATCTTATGTTCAGCACAGACATTGAAAGTTGATAGGCTCATTCATTCATGAAAATGTATCTATATTACTAAATATCTCTATTGGAAGTGACTGTTTCTAGAAAGAAAAGCTAAACTTTTTAATGACGGCAACTTAAACTTTCAACTGGACTTCATGCATTGTGCTGGGGTGCTGTTGTAGGCAAAACAGTTTTGACTCAAGGAATTTATATCCAGTTAACAAAAACTTTTAATTACAGATTCAGGTACTGAGGACCAAAGAAGATGGAGAATTAAATGAATACCTTTAGGGAAGCACCTTTCTTCCTCCCTTCCCTAGGCTAAGCTTCAGCCTAGGATCTCTTCTCCCCGCTCCTCGTCTCTGTTCCCCTTGTTTTCACCATGGGTTGCGCTCACCCTCTGCCCCAGTCCCTTTGGTGAGGCGACGGGTGGCACAGGATATTGGGGTCGGTAGCTGGTGGCTTCTTGCTGCTGCCCTGTCCTTCTTACTCATTTCCTCTACCCTGCCGTGGGTCCCCCACGGGCTTTGTTCGTCCGGGGTGTCCCTGGCCCAGCATGGATCTCTTGCGGTGGCAGCCCCTTTGGGGATGTCCCTGCCCCTGTGTGGGTTCTCCATGGGCTACAGTCTCTCAGGGGTGTCTCTGCGCTGGCCTGGGTCCCCCATGGGCTGTATGCCTTTGGGGGTGTCCCTGCTCCAGCAAAGAGTTTTGCCCCCCCTCCTCTGCCTCTTCCATTTTGTTTCTCCAAATGCATCCTTTCACATTTCTCCTTACATGTTCCTTTTTTGTGTCCCCTCCTGTGTCTCCTCTCACATGCATCCTCCTGTTCCTCCTCCTGTGTATCCTGCCCCGAGCGGCTACCACCTTTTCTCAAACATGTTTGAGCAGCAGCGCCGTGTGTTCCCGTGGCTGGTTAAGCTTTGGTGTGCCGTGGGTTGTTTGCATCCATTTCAGAGCTGGCTGTGACTGGCACAGGGCCGTCTCCCACACAAAGCACCCCTGCAGCCCCACTGCAAATGTTAATTTACTTCAAAAAGTTGTAACACTGGGGAAGGGGATGGTAGCAAGCTGATGAATAAGGGAGAGGAAGAGAAACGCAATGTCTTACACCACTGTAGCAAACCTTGCCAGCCGTCAGAGCTGTCGATCTTGCCTGTGTCCTGGGATAGGCTGAGCTTCAGAGGGGAGCCAAGCGTTGACTGGGGAATGGCAGGGAAGGTACCAAGGTAGCTGGTGCGGGTACCGTGCCCAGCTGCCCCTGTCTTTGTGCATGGCCAGCCTTGTAGCAGGGGCATCTGCATGTGATCCTCAGTTCAGTCTCAAGTGGCTTGGGAGGAGACACGTGTCCCGTTCTGAGCCATCGCAGTGGGACAGCACAGACAGCCCAAGCATTAACTGCTTCTGGTGTCCTGCTCTGATACATTCCTCCATGTGCATCTTCGCTCTGTCAGTAAAATCTCTTTTAAAATAAAAAGGTTGTCTGAAGAATACAGTACATTGAGTATATTGTAAGATCGTAATGAAGAAAGTAAAACTTTTTCCCCTCCAAATTGTGAAGGCACTTAATATGTCTTAAGAGTGTTAAGTTATTTGAATGAGCACTAATACAAGTATCTTTGACAGTGTAATTGTATCTATGTTATAAATTTGTTTATAACTTAAATTTTCCCTACTTTTTTTGGTGTGACCGTCTTTTTATGCTGTCGAAGCAGTTACCTCTGTCTGCTGTATACTTAGTTTGTTATGCTTCTTGCTTTTGTTAAATTTATTTACCCAGTGTCAGATTTTCCCAACTGCAGAAACTGGAACAAAGTGAAATGCATAACAGGATTTTTTGGAAAACTGTACTGTGAAATAAATTCTCTTTCAGGTCTCATATCTCTTTTGTGTAAAGTATAGTGACCTATGGACAGTTGTAATACCACTGTTGAGTATATCAGGAAATGTAGGAGAAATACTGATTCATAGTGTGATGGGGATTTTGTTTGTTTTTGATTTTTTGCTCTATTCTGTTGTAGTTCGAGATCGAGTTCGAACAAAAATGGAACGTGATATCCTAGTAGAAGTTAATCATCCTTTTATTGTCAAGTTACATTATGGTGAGTTGCAAAAGATGCATTTTTATATCTTAATAAAAAGTGTCCTTGACAAGACAGTGCCTGCCACTTGCCTAGCAGTTCAGAGAATCACAGAAATTAGAGTGCTACCTAAATGCTGATCCTGCAAAGCCTTGCTGTGTAGTAGTTCTCTTGCAATATAGGCACACGGCTAACAATGCATAGTAGTAAGTCTTTGAAGAGTTGAGTCTGCGGCCTTGTGCGGCCTTTTTATTAAAAGGACAGTTATTTATATCTAGCCATTTTGTTCTAAAATGTGTTATTCTCTGTATAGATCTTTTGCTTATTTTTAAAATGATTTCTTATCCTTAAATTAATCTATACAGAACCACATATGCAATGGCATTACTTCCAATTGCATCTAAGTTGGTGGGAAAATGCCTTTTAATTTCGATGGTATTGGCAGCCATAAAAATTTAATTATTAGGGAAAAAATGAAATTATTCTTGACACGTCATGCAGAAAGTGAACCAAAAAGGAGAACAGTTTTAGTTGTATCAACATAAAGTTCTTGTTTAAGAATAGCATCACAAAATGTTCAAACAGAAATTCACTTTTTGAATTCATGTTTTTCCTATAAGATCCAGTTTTTCCTGCAGTTCCGATTTCAGATCGATGTCCCTCTCTGAGGTGGCTTATATAACGTAGCTTTTATTGTTTAATTTTCTCTCTGTTGCACACTATACTAGATCCTCCCTATAAGGCTGAGTTTTCAAAAGTATTGGAATGTGTACATTAGTTAGTTAATTGCCCTTTTAAGTCTAGACGTTTTACTTCCAAAATTTGGAATGAAATGCTGAGTAATTGTTCATTTTTTTTATGAATTACATTGGTGATTTAATTTACTTTCACATAATACAGAACTTATTTACTTCATGATAGCAAAGTAGTTACCTAATTTTTAAATTAAATTATTTCATAAAGGAGAAAGAAGAATTAGTTTTGATAATGAAAGCAAGAGTAAATTGTTTTGGCATATTATTCCTCTGTTCATAGGTAAAGTTAGATGGTGTTTAATTTTTGTTATTGTTGTTGTTGATCTTTTCAGCTTTTCAAACAGAAGGGAAGCTATATCTTATTTTGGATTTTCTCAGGGGAGGAGACTTGTTTACACGTTTATCCAAAGAGGTAAACTTTTTTTTTGAATTTAGAAAATATATGTTGATAAAATTTGACTACAAACTGCCTATATTAGGAGAGTTTAGTTTTTTAATTTCGGTTTTCATTGAATAAAGTTTTGAAAATCTTTTTTTTTCAGATAATTTTTACACAGAGTATTCATTTCATTACAACACTGTTGGTGTAATTTACATTGCTTCTGGAAAAGCTTAGGCAAGCAGTCTTTCCGTATTGCTTTCCATCTGGCATAGTTTTTGCCATAATTTAGTACAGGTCTCAGAAAGAATATATACTTATAAAAAGTGTTTGTTGGATTTAAATGAAGTAGTTTGTGTATGTTTTTAATATCCATAATTTGATGTCAGATAGATTTGTATGATTAGTACATAAGCAGAAAATTGTCATTTAGAAATATAAATTAACATGAATTGTATTCCATTCATATTAGTGACTTTCCAAGCCCAACCATTTTCTATCTGTCATGCCGATGATATCTTTGTGTAGATATGTGAAATAATGACTTTGAAAAGCCGTTTTGAAACTAATCTCAACTCCTAAAACAAACGTTAACGTTCTGTATGTCAGAATTTTGTATTATTCTGCTGTCACTCATACGCGAAAGTTTCCAACAAATATGACTCTATGATTGAGGTATAAATATATCCAATGTATATTTGCTAGCCCGATCTTGTAATTGTAGCTTCCTTCCATCTTCCCAACTACAGAGTGTGCAGGACAATTGGGTCACCAATACGGAAGTTGATGGTAGTTATGGGGAGAGAAGAATGCGATACACTTAATGTAGATATATCATTCCATTTCTGTGATGACCCCATAAATTATCACGTTTAGTTCAGTGAAGCTGCCTGCTTCAAGCTTATAAAATCTAGCAGAATTAGTCTGTTTTGCTGCAGATGAATAGCATGTTATTTGTACTGAAAAACTGAGATGCTTCTTTTTTTCTTAAAATCCATGATCCTTTCCTGCTTCCCAAGAAAGGATCGTGGATTTTAAGAGGAAAAAATAGTCACTTTCCTGCTGATGACTTTTTCATCTTGAGCCACTCAAGTTTTATAAGACTTAATACAGTTGAATAACAAATACTCATTTTAGGCACCTGCATCTAAGCTGTTTATTTATAACGAGAGTTAAATGGGCGTGTTGGGTACAATTCATGTCATTCTAATGTAGGTCAATTCATGTGATCATAAAATAGACCAGCAGAATTTTAGCCTAAAAGTTCTGCTTTTTTTCCACTGACTGTAAACAGGAAAGTGATTAATTCAGAGGTAGAAGTCTATGCTACAGATGTTTAAGCTTAGGTGAGATGAACCCCGCATAAGGTTTTTAAAGTATACAGTGCAGGTTTATTGCCATCCCCATGGGATCTTGCATTATTTGAGCTTTTAAATCTTAAATCTATTTCCCTTTTTGTACATGCCTGTACTACATATTGGCGCTCTTGTGGGAGTAACATCAGCAAGTACCTTTTGTACAAGCTTTGATATCACTTCCGCGCTTTAAACTACTAAGGTGAAGACGTGTGGTATTCTCTGTTCTTAATCCTTGGTGTCATGTGCCATATCGTGCAGCAGATCACATGGCAGTGTTTTTCCCCTGCATTCTCAGAACAGTTGAATATTTCAGTGGATCGCAACATTTGTTGATCTATTGGGAGAGTGGACTCATTGTGCAGAATGTAGGCAGTGATTAGTTTATCTTCCTAGCAGAAAGTGTAGGACCGCTACCTGAGATCCTACCTGTGCTTTTACATAGCGCCATTTCCGCAGTTCGCTCTTTGATCCTCCTCTTCTGCAGTTACATCTCAGGCTGCATCTTGGGATTTTTACTGTCAGTTTAATTTTTTTCTGCTAGTGCTTAGAGGCGGTCTGCTTAAAATTAAGGTGTGTACGCTTTTCTCGCCTCTCCGATTTAATAGAAGAAATTGAGGCATTTGGAGTTCTTTGGCCTACTCATTGGTTGGAAATCCAGTGTTCACGTCCAGTAAAGAGGTAGTCACATTGTTTAAATGATTCCCAAAAATTTTTAGTGCTGCTATAGCACGCCTATTTTTCTCTTGAATAACCAGAAACAAATAACCACAGGTGTGCAGAAAGAATGATATGAGATTATATTGGTTTCAGAACTTGTTTTTCAAGTACGTACTGTAAAACCATATGGATAATAAAATACTAATTTGTCTAAGCAAGCAATTTAAATTTCTAATTTTTTTTTACCAGAATGACTGCGGTTGTTATGAAGACTCATCCTGCAAAACCACTCAATCGTTCAGTTAGTGCTGACGTGAACTGTACAAGTTTTACATTTAAAATATATCACTTTGCTTTTTCAGGTGATGTTCACAGAAGATGATGTTAAATTTTACTTGGCGGAATTAGCACTTGCTTTAGACCACCTACATAGTCTTGGAATAATATACAGGGACCTGAAACCAGAAAAGTAAGAATCAGCTGCAGCAAATGCAATATATTAATATATATTTTTATAGCAGTTCTGCTTATGTGCTTTTCTTTCCAGCTGTTAAAGTTACCTTGTAAGCTGAGCAGCGGGGGGAAAAGCTTATTCTTTAATTAGAAGGGTTGGATTTCATTTCCACTAGAAAATGAGCATCTAGTGTGAGAGTGATATGCCACATACTACATCCATGTTACTGTAGCTTTAAGTAGAAAGTATACTGAAAAATGTATGCCTTTCACTTTCCAAGTGCTCCTGAGTGCAGAATGGGGAAGGATATGGTTTTTTGTATTGGGGGGAGGGGGATCTTCTTAGGCCTTTGTTTCTGGCGTTATTGTAGAATTTTTGGACTAAAGATAAGGTTAAGAACACATGCATGGCTCGAGGTTACGGCTGAGTTTTGTATTTCTGCATTTGAAAGCTTAACTATAAACATTTTTTCCAAAGCTGACTTTTAAAATACACTGCGGTAACAGCAAAAAGGAGTTTGCAGTTTAAAGTAAAATATGAAAACATTAAGTCACCCGTTTTATTTAAACTATTGACAAATGAAGTAATTACACAGAAAACTTGGATCAAGCGTGAAGCTCCAATTCCGATGCTGTGTTACCTCTCAATAGTGTGGTCATCCCTGCCCTTTTCACATGACTGAATTCTGTCTCCTCTTTGTCTCTCCTTCATTAGTTTTCTCAGTTTTACAAGATATAAAGAAGGAATTTTTTTTTTCCCTCTTGTCAGTGGTACCTTCTGGAACGTTTGGACCTCTCAGATATAAAATGCTAAAGTTTTAACGTGTGCTGTAGCATTACTGTTTACCTGGAGAAGTACCTTAAGTGAAAATACAATGAGGGGAATCTCCTCAGTTGTGCTTAATCAGATAGTTAACGTGCTCTGCGTCATTGTCAGGAAATTTGTAGTTATTCCGCGGTCCCGATGTCTTTGGTGATCCCAGTTCTCCATTATGGCTATATAGAGAATCTGAAAAGTCTGCGTGAGATAACAGTCTCATGCAAAGTGTTGATGGAAAGAGCAAGAATGAGTAAGAAAAACCACAGAAGCTGACTTGCATGGAGCTTCCGTTAGCATAGCTGGTTCTTCTGTGCATCTCCTGTAAAAGGTGGACACAAATTTAAAAATGTTTAGTGCTCTGTGAAGAAAGGGCGTTCACAGGAAGACTCACACGCGGCTGGGCAATTTGGAGCTTTTTAGGGGTTGGATGGGAGTTGCACCTAATCTGAGCAGGGAAAATCATTTTTCTCATTTTTTTTTGTGTCTGATGTCCCAAACAGTTGGAGCGTATCTTGAGGTATTTAATACTTAATATTCTGTGTTGTCTATGACAGTATCGTCAGATTTATACTATCTTCCTTGATTACTTACAGACAAACAGGGAAATGAATTACCTTTAAACCTTGAAAGCGTCCTATTAAGTAGTTATGAAGTGAGGAAAATGAGCTTACCAAGTAAAAAAGAATTTTTTAAGGCAAAGCAAGAGGACTGCAGTAATTTTGCTACCATCTACTTGGACGATTACGATTGCATTCTTCTCCTTATTAAAAGACTAAATAGCTCGTGCATCTTTTTTTTTTCTTAATCTGTAAATGTCCATACCTATCAAAAAGCTTTGGTTTTAATTTTAAGTCTTGCATGCCTCTGATGCAAAAAATTTCAGCTTTTGATAAGATTTTGAAAGTTATGGATGAGGTGATAGTAACTCTCTCAGGCTATATCTATGCTGTGGGGCTAAATTTCCCGCCATGGAAACTGGAAGGAGGAAAAGGGAAGAGGGGGTAATGGACCACTCTCTGCATCTTACAGAGAAGAAACGCGGCTCTCACAGGAGAAGCCAAAGTACCTACTAAGACTGCAGCGTAGGTGTTGTCATAGTCCTGTATTTTGAATGCTTTGAATAGTCATTACGTTCAGTGGTTGTTGAGGATAGATGGTGTCCGAGAGAAGTGTGGCCTTTTTTGTGGTTGCATAAATATAGATGGAAGCATAAGGCCTGCTTTAAGCATAGGACTAGTGTCCCGGGCCTTGATAAAAACAGCAGGATAGTATTCTTTACACGATGGTATTTATTTGGAGGTCAACACCCTTTTGAACCCTGAATGCAAATGAATATACAATTTATATTTATGAAAACATATGTTATATTAACTGTTACAGTTTTATGGCTCAGTATAAGAGAAATAAAAATGTATTTCTAACGGTATTGTGATAATGGCATATGCTGCAGGTGGCTAAAAATGAAAGTTCAAGATAAAAGCTATTGCCTGCCACGCTGAATATAAGCAAATGATTTAACAAAATTCGATATACTGATTCTGTTTTACATTCTTTCATATGAAAGACTCAAAGGAAAACAAAACGTATAAATTCAAATTATCTCGTCCTAATGCTCCATTTCCATGCATGTTCACTTTTACATGTCTTTGTGTATACTGTTCTTCTTTATTCTTAAACTTTATCACTGCATTTTGGAAAATAACATTGAAGATAATCAAATTAGCTTATTTTATTCCTTTTTTTTTAGCATACTGCTTGATGAAGAAGGACATATCAAATTGACAGGTGAATAAAGGGAAATTGCAACAAGTGGATCTTTTCCGTTCATAGTAGAATCTCTGAATTTTCTTTTTCAGAGAAATATGGTAAAATCAGTAATTTTAAGTAGTAAGTAATTTTACTGTGGAGTAGATAGTGTTATTTAATGTTGAATAAATGAATCATATTAACATTTAAATAAGACATCTGTTTTAAATGTAAAGCTGATGCTATGGGTCTGTAATGTTTGGTGGGGGGGAAATCTAATTTACGTATGTATACTTGGCTGTATACATGAATGGTAAAAGCACTGCATTTCATATGTATGAATGATTTATATATATTTGTTATATATATATATGCACACATACACACTCATACATACGTACATGCATACACATATAGATAGATAGTATTTCAGACATTTTTTTTTTCCAGATTTTGGCTTAAGCAAAGAATCAATTGATCATGAAAAAAAAGCCTACTCTTTCTGTGGGACAGTGGAATATATGGCACCAGAAGTTGTTAATCGACGAGGCCATACACAGAGTGCAGACTGGTGGTCTTTTGGTGTTTTAATGGTAGGTTTCTGGTAAATGTAAATGATACCAAAACTGTGCTGAGCAAGGTTTGCCGAAAGAAATCAAACGTTAAATTGTAAAGTGATCTTTAAATGAGTTCTAACTGCGAAAAAAATCTAAATCATGTGAAATTAATTAACAGCACTGCAGAGCTTGGATGAAGAACATGAACTAGGTCTCATTTCAGCATCAATATTCTGCTACCCTTTTGTTTTTGTTTGACTGAAATATTACCTAGGTATTGTAGTTGAACATTACGGAGACAAACGAGTACTAAAGTGTACGGGAGAAAAATACTGGGTTTTTTTCCAAGGTGGGAGAGAAATCTAGATCCAAATTTTAAATTTGAATTTACTTTCAAGTGGGAAAAACTGTGAGCTATAATTTTCTGATTACATTCTCCAGTGTAATTACAAGTTAGGAGAATAATGGCAGCTGTTGCTTTACACATCACAAAATATTCTAAATGACACTGAGCTGGTATGGGCTATAGTTGTCAACAGGACCATCCTTATGATGTTTCTGCAAGGAGCTAACTTCTTTTAAGTTGCAGGGTCAGGGAGATAATTTGCATGGCAAATACAGATTTGAAACAAAAAAATAGATCATGATTGGTATTTTAGGAATGCTTAATACTTTCTAATATTTATCTTTGTGTGTGTTTTTGACAGCAAGATTAAATAATTGTATTTTTTTGAAAGGAAATGTTTGTTTTGTTCCTTACTGCTTCTGTAAGTCCATATATAACTGTAACAGTACAAATACTGTGTGGGCTTTGCAGTATGAGGACTCTTGTGTCTGAAAATAAGCCATCCTATCAACTTTTAATCATTTAGAATGCTGCTGTGATCTGAAAATTGACTGTGTAAAAGTAGCACCTGAAAACTAAGCTTTCTGCAGACAAACACACACATGCACACCCTTGCAACTGCCCATTTTATCAGTGAGAACCCCTTCTAGCATTATTGTAAGCTTTGAGCAGCCCATATGTTGAAATGAAGCTTGGGCATCAATTAAATAATTACAGTGTAGCTGCAGGCTGTTCGTTGCTGATAGCACAAACATAGTTTAAAATTTTCGGCTTTAGTTTACAGAATTGGAAAACATAATTTTGCGCTCATAAAGTACATAAATTAAAATGAAAAGCTGCTGAGAGATATTGGATGTGACTGGTGTGACTTCCACAGTCTAAGTGCACTACGTTTAAAATACTTTTACTTCTGTTTTGAATTTGAAAACATAGCCTTAAAAAACCCTCTCTAAATTAGTGTATGGAATACAGTATAGTTTTCTCTAGGACATATTTTCTTTGCCTGCCTCTCAATTTCATGTGCTAATTTTCATAGACAATCTACACATACCTACTCGTAAGTCATTCATAAGTCCATCTCTGATTGAGAGGAATTCAAGTGGTTGTACACGTTGTCTGAGGCTGAACAGAAATTATAGCATAGAAATGGAAACTAGAAAGATATCTTAATAAATCATTTGGTCCCTTTTCTCCTAGTGTTACATAGTAAGTATATTTAAATAATCCTTGAGAGGTATATTCCAATTTGCCTTTTAAAACAGTGAATGCTTTAAGGGATGCCAGACCTTTGAAAACATCATTTAAAAGTTTTCGAGAGCATTAGGTATTTGTTGAAGTGCTTTCCTGCTTTTTTTTAGTTAAGGCCAATGTTGAGGGTTATCCTTAAAGTGCTGTTGGCCTTAAGTATTGGACTATAGTGTTTTGGGGAGGAGGACAAAGAACATACATGCTGAGTTTATGCAAGAAATACTTAATTTTGTCTGGATTTTAGTGAGTATGCTTGCGACAAATAGGAGCTTGCTAAAGAAACTTTATTGCTAACCTACAGAATTTTGAGTAAGCAAACATAACAGAAACAGCATCAAATTTACCTTTTCAAGAAGAAAAACTTTTGGCAAGTGTACTTTATGAAGCACTTAATTCTAAACTATAAGCAAAAATACTGAATTATGTCTTGATAGTTTTAGTTTAGGCCTTGATTCAGCACATCTTTTTGACAGCTGTGGTAAGAACTATTAAAGGTAAAAGTAGCATTTTTTCATAATGGTATTTATATTAAATTTTTAAACATTAATAATTAGACTCCAAAACCAAAGTATCTAGTAGTAGTGCAGAGTTGGCAGCTCTGAATATAGTGTAGTAAAAAGTTTAATTATTAACTTCCATGGAAAGATTTGTTAAAGAATGCCATTAGAGCAACTTCATGCTCTTATTTTAGATCTAAAAATACTATAGCTGCTCATTATTTGCTCAAGTTATCCAGGTACATTTCTAACACTTGGACTGAACCCTTGGGTGATATGGGAAAAATCAGGAATACAGGATACAAGGTGCAGGGTGACCTAAGTTCATCACAGTGTACCTTTATAATTATTTTAATTTTGGTAGCTTTAAATGTCTGCCATGCTACTTCATGATATTTAAATTGTTTTTGCAATTCTTAAACCAAAAGTAAGAATTCCTGCCTCAACAGAGTTTTGGCTGCCATGACCACTGGCGTAGACAGCTTTCAGTACCTGACTTAGCGCTGGTATTTCTGCTGTGTACTGCAGCTCCTCAGAAGTGCCTTTATACTTATCTATTTTTGCTCAGTCGCTTTCAGAACAGATCGGTATTGCAAGTGCCCGTTGCCCACTCGCAGGCATTGCAGAATGTGCATGCGTGTGCTGTGCATCTTAGGTGTTCCGTCAGACTTTATTTCCACTGTATACCTACAGTAATCACTGTTCATCATGCATGTCCTGTCAATCAACTAACTTTTTTCCTTTCTCCATTGAAGGCTATGCACACGCCAATTTCTTTTTTTAAAATGACCTTTTTAATATCTCTGCGTGAAGATAAATTGTCACTAACTTTTGAAAGGGGAATGTTTTTCCCTACCGCCACCATCTTGAAAACTGAAATAGAGTTGTATAGCTCACATTTTCCAAGAATAAACTTCTGTTTAGGCAGAAATGAAGCACAGAAAATTGTAGTCTACACTGTTCAGACAAAAGCATGTAAAGTAAGATTTTAATATAAGAAAACATTTTGCAGCTTTAAAAATGACAGAGGCTACTAAATATTCATCGTAATTTAAGTCTGTACAATGAAAAGTTGTTTTGCATACACTTGGTTGTTAACGTGCATGAATTTTGGAAGGTTAAGATGCTAAGTAGTTTTGTCAAAAAGTAGATTTTGTTCAGGTAATATAATTGATGAAAGTTTTACTCTATACAGTTTGAAATGCTCACTGGTACTCTACCTTTCCAAGGGAAAGACAGAAAAGAAACCATGACTATGATTCTCAAGTGAGTACACTCTTATTTATATATCTCATCAGGTATTCTACAGGAATGCCCTCCGGGCTGCAATATCTAATTTCTACTCTTCCCTCATTTCCAAAGGTACTGGTAAATCCTCACTCCCTATTCCATACTACTAATTCCCTTTATTTCCCTTTATCACTTAATTTGCCTTTCTACTCCTTTTCCATACCAGGTACAAAGAATTTCATAGCAACTGTTCAATCTGTAATAGTCTTCTCCAGCCATGTGATCTTTCCCATCTTATTTCCGTAATATTTTTAACTTTCTTATCCCTTTTGGTACCCTGTACATTTTTCCATGTTTTTTGTTTTAATGGTTTTTTTGAAAATATTTTCTCTCCTTATCCTTCTCTTTCTTACCAAGTCCGCCCCCGACTTCTTTATAGTGCTGATGCTGCCAACAACTTGCTTCCTTGATACTTCCCCTATTTGCTAAAGGGCATCCTCTCTTAAGTACTCTCCTGTGACTTGCTCTAGCTCCAATTTTTCCCTTTTATTATTTGCAGTATATTTTTTGCGTTAGCTATATTGTGGAAATTGCTTTCCTTCATGCAGTTAACGTTCTTGTTCTCGCTAACGAAGGCCTGCTTTTTTCTCCCTGAAGTTCCCTGTATTTTCTTTGAACTAGTACGGACAGTGACATTATAATAGTCCCACTTTCAGGACTGTAGCCTAACTCTGTGCAAACATTTCTGTTTCCTTGTGTCATAGTTTCACTTGTGTTTCCAAACCATTATTTGCTAACACCATTTTTTATCATGGATGCTCCTAAGACTGTTTTTGATTTCTCATTTGTTTTCCACTTCCCTGTTTATCTGTCCTTAGTCTTGTCTGCCATTCGTCTACCTATATATGAAGGCTAACCCCACTTCTGCACCAACAGCCTGTTTTGAAAAGTAAATATATGAAATTCTTTCTGATTTTTTTTCAAGTAATTTAATGTGAAAACTGTTAGAAAACACAAACCCATTTCTTTCCCTCACATTTGTGTTCGTAATGCATACATGTTATGTTATTCTTGGCCTTCGTTTTTCTTTTTCATCTTGTATTTGCAAAGGTATTTAGTGGTGCTAGTTTCTTCTACTGCCTTACCACCATGCCAGTCCAAATCGTTGGTTGCGTTGCGATTGTTGAATGCCTTAGTAACTAAGAGGTTCTGTCTATTCACAGCAAGCGTAAACTACTTCTGCCCACCAACTATTTACAAGAAGCGAGTCTGAGATAGCTCTGCTGTGCTCTCACTTATTTCAGGAGCCATCTGTTTTTTCTAGCCATGTCTCACAAGTCACGTCTTTCTCTTCTTTTCTCTGCCTGTCCACATATGACTCCACTCTGTTCCTCAACAGTCTTTCCGCTGTTGGTACAAGAATCTTCTGTGTTCAGCTGCCATATAGAATATCTTCCTGGTATCCCTGTAGTTAATTGACATTCATAACTGCTTTCAGATTTCATCTAAGCATCTCTAGTTCCCTTATGAATACTTTCTTTTCTCACCTTCTAGTCTCTGAAATTGTATTCTTTATTTTGGGGAGTCGTACAAAAATGTGGTGCAAATTAAAAGAAGTGGAAGAAATTTTACTTCTATTTTAATGTTCTGTACATTTCTAATTATTATATAGATATGAATCTATTTTGCTGTTAGTAATATGAACAGCTGGGAACCAAAAAATATTTTAAACTCTTTCTGATAAGGTTTTTTTTTTTTCTGGCCACATTTACTGAGAATTACTGAATGGCAGTATATTTTCTTTTTATTTTCCTTATACTAACAAATTTACTATAATTCTCCTTAAATTACTCTTCAAACCATTTGCAGAAACTATTTGGAGATGCGTGCATACTGAATTCATATTTTACTTAGTGCATCTTTTTAGATATACTGTTTTTCTTACTTTCTGTTCCTCAAAATGCACAGAAAGTGTGCTCTTTCTACAACATATTTTCTAGGACTCTTTATTTCTCACAACATCTCCAAAGCAAGTTTTTGTTTGTTTTTGTGTGTTTTATCTATAATTGAGAAACTCTGCCATTTGAAGAACTCATAATTTGCGACAAAAAAGTTAATTTTTTGAAGTACCTTTTCTCCTATGCTGCAGAGATATGCCTTTATGTAACATTTCTGTCTTCATCCATCAGGAATGTCGGAATAAAATTGCTGTCACTCATGTAGTCATATAACCTAGGGACTCGGAGGACGTGTGATTGTTTTTTCTTCTGTGTAAAGTGGCCAGTATAGCACTTTCAGAAAGATGCTCCTTCATAGTAAAGTAAGCACTGACAGTCTTAGTCTCTGTGGTTTACAGAAGGGCCTTTGTCTCACTCCAGTGTGAACATACCCATCCTCTAGAATTTCTTCTACGTACTCTATTTCTGTTCATTGAGTATCTTCTCCATAAGACTGATTGCAATTATGTTTTTGGACTGGTTTTTAATTTTTCCAAGCAGTGGACCTCTTACGCTGAACCTCCAGAGCTGCATCCTGCTTTTGGAGCTGCTTTCGATTGTAATAATTGGGCAGAGATTTCCTCGCACTCCAGTGCCATCCCATCACATTTAGTTGTCTGTTCTCTGTCCATTAATAACATGGTTCTACTGTAAGTGATACCGTTGTGCTTCTGCAGATGTTGTGATCCTTGCTTTCTTCTTACATTGTAGCTCTTGTGAGCAGAAGTGACATCAAGTGAAACTGCAATGAAACCACTGAGTATAAAATGCATGTGTGAGAATTCAGCTGCTACAGGTGCATGCCAGTCGGGGAAGTGCTGGTTGGCCCATTACCCATTCCACCAGGCTACTGCTGATCTTTTGAATCTTTTGAACTGCCTGTAATATGTTACTGAAGAGCCCAAAGACAGTAAAGTGTTTTTTCCAGCTTCTTTCCTGCAAAGGGATTGGAAGATTTAGTAAATTCTGTGTTCTAAAAGTAATGAGTAGTCGATTGATAGCAGCATGCATGCGTTTGCTGAAGTGACAGAGAGGAAGACATCTGTAAAAGCTGGAATGCATGGCAAACTGTATCTTCTGCCCAAAACAGAGAAAACTTGTGTCATAGATTGTACAGACAAATACAAGAGGCTTTAGAGTAGGACTAGGACACAGGTTGAGTAAGAGATGGAAAGGAGGGAATTGCATTCATCCTGAACTATTTCATGGTATCCATTGTAACTGTCATAAGAAAAAGTGAGAACTAATAACAGTGAGAGGATTAGTTAGATTAGAGACAAAACATTAAATGGGGAGGAGAAAAATGGGGCAAAGATTTTAAAACAAAGTGAAATGACTGAAGTACAAAAGCTAAGATTTCAAAAGAGTGGCAAGTTTCAAGGTAAGATTTGAAATGAAATGGCAGGGGGTGGGAGGGTGACAAAGAGGGGAGCAATCTTTTTCCCTTTTTTTGCCTGATAATCTTGAGAATATGTCCTGCCTGAATCCAAGTTGTATCTTCTAGTTTAGGTTTCCTCTTGTATTGCCTGGGTGTTCTAGGTATACGTCGCACTGCGGTAGTCTTCTTACCCCTTCTAAAATGTCTTTTATCCTATTGTCAAAATGAGTTTGCTTGCTTGATGTTGTTTGGTAATACATACACTTTAAAATGGATCAAAATAGATGATAAAGATTTACAAAATTGTAAACCTTTATCCAGTAACTGTCCTGCTTTGCCTTTTTTTATAACATTATTCTTCACTTACGTTCCTGAGTCAGTACTTTTCAAAACAGAAAATTTGAAGTTACATGCCTACATGACTGACAGCACTTTTGCTCTGTCTCTGATGTCTGAAGCCAATATCTTGGTGACATTATTTTGCTCGATACGAATGTGTTGAATGACCTAGGGCGGGGGGAGTACAAAGTTAATCCTTACCTTAATATGTTTTTATGTTATTAATTATTTTTGTTGTATAGGGCCAAACTTGGAATGCCCCAGTTTTTGAGTCCTGAAGCACAGAGTCTTCTCAGAATGCTCTTCAAAAGAAACCCAGCAAACAGATTAGGTGAAGTGTTTAATGGAATGTTTTAAATTGGCTGGCTTTGAATGGACCGTAAAATTCATAAAGTAAATGTTCATTAGAATGACGTAGGTTTAGTTTCAAATGTAAAATGCTATCTGAAGCAAGAACGTGTTTTGTCTATTTACTGTTTTTTCTAATGATCAGCAAAATATTGTATCATTTTTGCTATTCGTGCTTCAAAAACTAATGCAGTAAAAATAAGAAATAAAATTGTTAGCCAGGCCTTCTTCTGATCAAGAAGAAAATAATTCATAGCCATTTTTCTTCCTTATAAAAGGAGCAGGTCCAGATGGAGTTGAAGAAATTAAGAGGCATCCATTTTTTTCAAAAATAGACTGGAATGTGAGTATTTAATTCAAAAATAATTCAATAAATTACACTGTAAAATAATATTTGGTGATGCAGTTTAACTTTTTAATCTACTCTGGCCTATAACTTCTCCTCAGAAATTGTACAGGAGAGAAATTCATCCCCCTTTTAAACCTGCAACTGGCAGACCTGAAGATACATTTTATTTTGATCCTGAGTTTACAGCAAAAACTCCAAAAGGTAACAAGATCAAAATTCAAAAATTAGAAACAATGATAAACTATACGTAAAGTGTATTGTTCTTCTAGTTGTTGTTGGACTAAATAAGTGCTCAAAGACTAATTTCAATTATTCATAAAGTTTTTGTGTTCTTTGGCATGAATATATCAGAGAGACTACTGAGTTGTCTAACTTAAAAATCAGTAGAAAGTCCTCAGAAACAAAACTTATACCTATGTAAAACTGAACATATCTGAGTAATCTCATTCTTTCAGCTAATAAGGTTATGCATATCTGTCTTCAAAGACATGCATCCTATTGCTTCATCTAGTTCATTGTGGCTACTCTACATGCTATGTATATGTAGAAACCTGGTCATTTCAGACTGTGGATGGTAAAGCTGCTGTTTCAGTGCTGTCAATATCTCTGCGTAGTTTTACTCGGTTCTGTTCAACATCTGATAGAAAGTTTTGTCTTTGCTAATCAGTGTTACCAAAATTCGGTACGTTTCCTCCGTAAGTGTGAATATGCTGTTGTATGTAAATATTTTGTTAAAATACTGTTTTTATGTAATAAAATATTGATATAATGTCATCTCTTCATTTTAAAAATTATTCTTGTTGCATTTGTAAGTAGATGATGTGTGTTTTTTCAGATTCACCTGGTATTCCACCTAGCGCTAATGCACATCAACTTTTTCGGGGATTTAGTTTTGTAGCTATTACATCGGATGATGAAAGCCAAGCCATGCAGACTGTTGGAGTTCATTCAATTGTCCAGGTGAATACTTTTGCTAGGAAAATGGGCAATAAAGCAGTGTTTCTGCCCTTTGGGGGAGGGACCTCCATCGTAAAATGAAGTATCGTGACAAAGTCTTCAACTTGGTGCCAGAAAAGTGAAGCTCAGATTATTTTATCCAGTCAAGATCTCTGAAGATGCAGGAGCTGTTCCATTCCTGAGCAGCTGTAGGTGTAAACAGGTGTGGGCTTCAACCCTTAAATGAAAACATTCTATCATCTGAACTGTAATAACTCTTTAAGCCTCTAGACTATCAGGCCATAGTTATTAAGGTGGGGGTGAAACAGCAGATATTTTCATCGTTTTTTCTCATGCAAAAAGAAATCAGTTATTTCAGTTGTTTCCTGTAGTACAGGTAAGAAACACTGGAATACAATTGTAAATTAGTGTATCTGGATGTTTTGGACGGCTGTGTATTTTAGAATCCATGAAGTATGAACATAATCAGTCCTTCACAGGCCACAGTAAGCAAACATGCTGATCTGTGATATTTCATGACTATTTCAGAGTATCCTAGTAATCAGTGTTACAGTACAGGCACATTCTTAGCAATATTCGAATGGTTCCAATACAGTCTCCTGTATTAATAATTGTGAGGTTGTTGCTTTTAATAGCCCAGAGTGGCTGCTATCCTTATATACTCTATTACTGTCAGTGCTGCTTATTTTTGGACAACAAAGCTTTAGTCGCGTACAGGCACGTGTGAGACAAAAAAAGATGACCTCAAGCTAGAATGAGGGAGAGGCCTGCCTTGCCTCCTTAGAAGATTGAGGTCATTTTGAAAACGTGCTTTGGCACTGGAGTGTGTTACCTAAAGGAAAAAAGCATACCTATTTACAGGAAAGGAAAATGAAAGACCTTAGTAAAAATTGTATTTCTACATCCTGTTTCTGCTTTTAATAGTTCTAATTATTGAGGAAAATTAATTACGTGGTGAAAACTTCTTCTTATTGGTGTGTAGGCAGGAACTAAAATGATATCCTGTAAGCCTGGGTTTGTTTGTTTTCATTGCAAGGATATTTTGCAAATGTCTAAGTTAATTCTTGAAAAGCTGTTTGTTCAGAACATGAATAGCTCTTTTATTTCTTGCCTAATCCTTTTACTATGTCTCAAATAGGCATAATATGCTTATTTGTACATTGCCTATTTTAATTCTAATAAGCTGTTACATTTTAAGGGTTTTAGATGCTCTTTTGTTTTAAAGAAGCTGTCTGATTTGGTGTACACGTCAGAATGACTTCTGCTGACAGTTTCTACAAGCTTGACTGTGCTCCTTCTTTCTTGAATAGTTTTGGGGATGAATTTCTTTCTCTTTGTATATGGTTTCCTTTTCTTGTAGAAGTCTTCATTTCTATACTGCCTTTCCTCTGTGCCCCTCAACCGCTTCCTCACTCCTATTTCCTCTTTTCTCTGCTGCAGGATACCCAGATGGTTTCCTGCAAATGCCTTGCATCCTTTGCACAAACTCCAACTGTTCCCTTAAAGCAGAATACCATTTCCTTCCCATGCAAGAGTGAACACTTCCCCTTCTTTCTGCTTTTTATTTCTCTGAAAGGTTTTTCGGCTCCTGCTCCTATGAATACTTGCAGTTTCCAGTTATTCTGTTTATATTCAGCACATCTAAATTTCCCAGCTAGCATTTCACATGCAAAGAAATAGACTTTACCATTCATCTATGTAGGTAGTAGGAACAGTGGTGCTTTTCTAGCATTAACTGTAGTCTTCTGGTCTTCTTTCTCTTGGACAGTCTATCTTTAAACTAGTAAATGAGCAACCAGTAATGTCACATTGTCAGTTTCTGAAATAAAGCGTGCGTTCTTTACAGTGTGTCTAGTATGTCACTTGCCTTGTGCTAATCTCAAATAGAAGGCAGTGGGCTGTTGAAAATACTTTGAGCTAGTACAGACCATCGGTTGAAAATCAGAAGCAAATCAGCAGGAACTGCATAACTCATTCGTAATAGAAATGTCAGTAACATGTTCTAGAATATTCATCAATTGATGTTATTTTGGTAGCAGTTGCACAGGAACAGCATTCAGTTTACTGATGGATATGAAGTAAAGGAAGATATCGGAGTTGGGTCTTACTCTATCTGCAAAAGATGTATTCATAAAGCTTCAAACATGGAATATGCTGTAAAGGTAACTACTTTGTTTTAAAACACGCTGCATGTTTTTCAGGATTTAGCATCACAGCCTTCAATCGTTGTTAGTATGCCATAAAGAACATAGCAAACTTAATTGCGTTTAAATGAAAATATTTTAGATGCCAGTGGGAATTTTACTATTTAAGCAAACAGAATACTTACTGCCAATGCAATAGTTTTGTTATCTATACACTGATTTGGGTGGTGGAAAGCAATCTTCAGTCTTTGAAACACCTATGTAATTCCAGTAAAAATGGGAGTTACCTGACTGCTTCTAGAAGGAAGTGTACTCTGAAAAGTTTGTATAGCTTATCATCATTTTTTAAAAGTGTAATTGATTATGTTTTTTCAACTTCTGGGTTTTTTTACTTCCAAAGTAGATTTACAGATTGTCAGATACATGTTCCTAACAGTACTTTTGTCTAATTTGTCTTCCAGAATAAACTTCAATTCTGTTTGTCTTTGCTTGCTGGTTTTTAACAGGATTTCTAATGTTATTTCAGAGTTATTCCATCAGGCTTTTTAACTCTTAGAAAGCATTAAATTCTTACTGAAACCAGTAGCGTTCACAAAAATGGAGTGATAGGTTTATTTGTTTTTTTTTATGGTCTTTCCATTTAACATTGTGGAGCTGAATACTTACCATGAAAGCAGGAGTACAGGTTAGCAGACTTAAAATCTTCTTTTTTTTTCTTTTAAAATCCTATGTTATTGTAGCAGGTTTTTTTTTTTAATTGTTGAATAACTTCTCAAATATGTAAAACACAAAGATAAGTATGTTTTGCTGTATTCTTGTACACAGATTGCCAACTGGAAACCCTCCAGTTTCAATGTGGTGTTTGCATACTTGTCATTATTCTAGTTCTGACCAGGAACAGATTTGACTTCTTTGCTCAAAATTTGGAGTAATTTCTTGAAACTGAAAGAAAAGAATTTGCTTTACTGTTCTTTCTCTGGGCCATAGTAATTAAGACTGCCGC